CCCTGGAGGGTGATTTCTCGCTTTCTGTCTCTATGTCTCTCTCTGTCTGGCGAGCGCACGCGCCCTATAGCGAAAATCTCTCCAGAAAAAAAAAGATAGATAGATAGATAGATAGATAGATATACACACATATATAAAGAGAGAAATATGCTAGAGAATATCTAGATTTTTGTATTTCTTGCCTGTAGTCATTTTGAACTTTTTACTTTCTCTCCTCCTCAATATGCACCTACTTACTTTTTGTTTTGCTATAAGGTGCATGTGCTTGGCAGAGAGAGAGAGAAAGTGAAAAATCACATCCCAGAGGACATGGTCATGCTGCAATCCCATCTCCTCTCAGGAGTTTGGACATGCATACACACACTCCTGGAGTGGTTTTTTGTTTGTTTTTAAGAGAGATTTTTGCTATAGGGCAAGTGCGCTCTCCAGAGAAACAAAGAAACAAAGTGAGAAATCACCCCCCACCCAGGGGATGGCCATGCCGCAATCCCTTCTTCATTCTCCTCTTGGGATTTTGGGTATGCACACACATTCAGCTGGTGTGACTTTCAGGCCACCAGGTCCAGGCCTCAAACTACAATCAACACGTGGGAGTCCAACGACATAACCATTACACCATCTGCTGGTCTCCTTGGCATGTTTTCTCAAGCCACTGGATCTGGGACTTTGAACCACACAGTTGGCCAGTTGGGATCCAACTATCTTAACCTGTGCACCAGGGAGGTTAAGGGTAGAGATTTAATAAAATAATTTTCACTGTTGAGCAAGGACATTGTAAATGAAATGTGATGATTTGTGTGTGTGTGTGTAAGTTTTTTTTTTTTTTTAGAGGTTTTTGCTATAGGGTGCATGTGTTCACCAGAAAGACAGAGAGACTCCTCCTTTCTTCTCTCGGGATCTTAGGCATGCACGCACCATAGCCATTATGCTAACTGCTGGTCCCTGTGTGTGTAAGATTTTTGCTATAGGGAAGTGCTCACCAGAGAGGGAAAAAGAGAAAAAGTAAGAAATCACCCCCCATGGGGAACGGCCATACAGTTCCTTCTCTTCCATTCTCCTGGAATGGCCACACACACGCACACACACACATGCACCCAGCATGATTTTCAACTGTGTTTGACAGTTTTTCAAACCGTGTTTCCTACTTTTAGTTGGGATCCAGCCGTCTTAATCTCCCTGCCACCTGCTGATCCCACCCTCTTACTTTGTCTATTGTTATTCTCAGCCTTCCAATATATTCTTTACAATGGACGACGTGGTCAAGGTTGGCGACTTTGGATTAGTGACTGCCATGGACCAAGACGAGGAAGAGCAGATGGTTCTGACCCCAATGCCAGCATATGCCAGACACACGGGACAAGTAGGGACCAAGCTGTACATGAGCCCAGAGCAGGTGAGTTTCTCAGACTTTTGGTTAGCATGGCAGCAAGCTAGACGTGCCTGATGAATTTCTGTGTGTGTTCTCATTAAAACAGTAATAATAGGACGAGCAGTTGGCGTAATGGCTTTGTCACTAGACTCCCATGTAGTCGACCGTGGTTCGAGTCCCGGACCTGGTGGCTTAAACTCTGGATGCGTGTGCACGCGTGCCCAAGTTCCCGAGAGGAGAGGAGATTACATGGCCATTCCCCCTGGAGGGTGATTTTTTGCTTTCTGTCTCTCTCTGTCTTTCTGGCGAGCGCATGCACCCTATAGCAAAAAATCTCTCTAAAAATAAATAAATAATTAGTAATAATGAAGTTTGAAAATTATGAAAACTGGCAGTAGTGTTCCAGAGGCTACTCAGCTAGGAACAGATTAAGAAAAGTACTCAGAATACATAAAACATGCTCGCCCTCCAAACCAGAAACTGAGAGCAGCCAGAAATTTAGACTTTGAGTGCTGAACTCCTGTTTGCCTGTTTCCAGAGCCAGCTAGAGCCAAGGTACTGTACTGAACTGCCCGCTGGGTTATTCACAGACGGCACCCAGAATGCACCACGGCAGGAAGTGGTAGCATGGCGGCATTCCATTCTGCATTGGGGATCTTTTCTCACTCATGCAGGATTTTTAACATTGTTCTTTGGTCACTTGGAAACTATTGGTTCTATAAGCTATACAGCTTTTATAAAAGTTGTCTCAGCTCAGTAAACCATAGAAGAAATCACTTTGGTTAATAGTTCCACCAGTATCTCTTCAGAAAACGCTTGAAGTATTGGGAAGCTGTCAGATTGTGAGTGGTGGATACAGACTTTCCAAAGTTCTAATTTTCACCTCAAAACTGAACTTTCATCATTGGCAACAAATGCTGGTCAGTTTTCCTTGAAGCGCCATTCTCACATCAAACATCCAACTCTGGATAACTGTAGTTTGTCTACTAGCATTTTTGCAAATCAGAATCTATTCCATGAAAAGAGCAGCTATTGTATATTGTAACACCAGTAATCGCACAGGGACTCATTCTTTTTTTTTTTCTTTCTTTCTTTTCTTTTTTTTTTTTAAGGTTTTGGTCATAGGGCGTGTGCATTCACTGGTGAGACAGTGAGAGGGAAAGTGAGAAATCACCCCCATGGGGGTATGGCTACACTGTGGTCCCTTCTCCTCCATTCTTCTCTCAGGATTTTGGGTGTGCACACACACGTGCCAGTGTGATTCTTAAACCTCCATGTCTGGGTCTCAAACGATGTTTGGCCATGTGGAGTGCGGATCCTTAACCACCATGCCACCTGCTGGCCTTGTGTCACAGTATTATTATGAAAATAGTCCTCATCTTAAAGATCTCCTCAAAGGGTGTTGAGATCCCAGGGATCTGTAGACCACACTCTGAGAACCATTGGACTAGGTTCTCTTGGAAGGTTATATCGGACACCAATGACAGGAATTGCCTGCCTTTGAGGAGGGGACTTGATTTCACTGTTACATAGTATCCTTGTGAAGTGTTTGCACTGTTTACATTATTCAAGTGTTTCTTTTTCCTGTCTTAAAGTTTTATTTTTTATTTTATTTTAAATATATTTGAAAAACTCCATACTTAGCTTAAATTTCAAAGATAAAAAGGAAATGCATTGCATGTGTATTTAGATAGAAAAAAAACAGGTTATAGCTAAAGAGCCTGTTTTCTATAGCTTTCAACCCCAGACGACGATAAAGCAACATACATAGTTTGAAGAAAAAGAGTTGTGACCCACGAATCTTGCATCTGGCCATGAGGTTATTCATGTACAAAGAAATTCGGCATCTATAGTTAGAGTTTTTAAAAATCTCTGAAGGGAAAAAAGCAAGGTGCAGAAATGTGTGCACAAAGTGCCACCGTTTGTGTGAGGAGGGAGGAAGACACGGACGCACCTGCTTACATTTACATACAGACATCCTGAAAGGGTGTACAAGGAACAGATGGTTCGGGGACTCTGGCAGAGGAAATGGGCCCAGGGTACTATTCCTTTGTGCCAGGAAATTTTGTTATCTCTTAAAAATGAATTTAACGGGACCAGCAGTTGGCATAATGGCTGTCGCTGGACTCCCATGTAGCCGGCCATGGTTCAAGTCTCAGACCCGGTGGCTTAAACTCACGCCAGGTATGTGTGTGCATGTGTGCATGTGTGCCCAAGATATCTGCCAAGAAGAGAATGGAGGAGAAGGGATTGTGGCATGGCCATCCTCCCTGGGGGGATGATTTCTCACTTTCTGATTTTCTGTTTCTGGCTAGTGCACTCACCCTATAGCAAAACCCTCTCCAAAAAAAAAAAAAAAATAGAATTTAATCTGTTTTGAACTTCTAGCCTTTCAGAAATTTTAGCCTAACTCTTTGTGCCACTTATTGCTTCGGTTTTACACCACAAGGTATTGAATATGTGCTGACCTCACCAATAACCCTGTGTCCTTAACTGCCTGTCTAGGGGCAGTGACTATGCATCCATTCAGCAGGTGTCTAAGTTTCCTCATGTGCCACACTGTGCTATGAGAATGCAAACATGACCCAACAGCCGTGAGCCCTGCCCACCACACACACACACCTGCCCCCAGGCCAGAGGATGACCACTCTGCAATCCCTTTTCTCCATTCTCCTCTCAGGATTTTGGGCATGTGCACCCACATGCTCAGCGTGAGTTTCAAGCCACTGAGTCTGAGATTCGAACTGTGGTTGACCATATGGGAGCACCTTAACCACTATGCCACCAGCTGATCCAAAAGGTTTATAATTTTAAATGTCATTATAATAAGCTGGGTCTGTAAATCCATATACAATAAAGATCAGGAAATGGAAGACAGTAAGAATGGGAGAACTAAACATGGAAGTTGAGATTTGCACTTTATTTAGGGACCCTAAATAAAGCAGATGGAACTAAAACAATATCTACCTTCTATGTTACTGTAGAAGATAAATGCAGACTACAACAAAAAGGGAGAATATTGGTAAACAAAACTGTAAGTGATGCTAAAGCCAACTATGTTAGTTATGACAATAAATAAATAAATGTGGTTTGGTGCCAGCAGTTGGTGTAGTGTTTACATCGCTGGATTCCCACGTGGCTAGCTGTGCTTCGAGTCTCGGATCTGGTGGCCTAAAACTCAGGCTGGATGCATGTGCGTGTGTGTCCAAGATCCCTGGAGGAAAATGGAGGAGAAAGGATTGCAGTGTGGCCATCCTCCCTGGGAAGGGGGGTGATTTCTCACTTTCCCTCTCACTGTCTGTCTCTCTCTGTCTCTGTCAAATGCACACGACAAAAACCTCTAAATAAATATGTTTAGAATTTTCCCATGAGAAGGGATTTTTTGTTCCTGATCTTTGCCATAGGGTACATGTACTTGTTGGAGAGAGACAGATTGAAGGGGAAAGTGGGAAATCACATTCCTAGGGTGGATGGCCATACCATATGCACCCATGGGTACACTGTGCCCCTGGCTGGCTGCAGGACTTGGGAAAAGATCTTGCCATGAAGACCAACAAGAGTGCCTCTCTAGTTCTCTCAATAAATTTTATTTAGCTTGAAATTAGGTCAATCAGGTCAGTAATGAGGTGAAAATATTCATTCAAAGTATTTTTTTAAAGAATTGTTCTTATTTATCTTTATTTATTTATTTAAATTTGACGAGAAAGGGAGAGATAGAGTGAGATTTGGGGGAGGGGGGGAGAAAGAGAACGTGAGAAAGTGAGCCACCAGGCCCAGGACTTGAACCGCCATCGGCCATTTGGGAATCCAGCGCCTTAACCACCATGCCACCTGTCGGCCCCTCATTCAAAGTATTAAGAAAATAATGTACACTATTGAAATCCTAGGATGTTACCAAAGTTCTTTTTGGAGTTAAGTTTATTTTAAAGGCCTTCATTTCATAAGTGATTTAATACTCTGATCAGTAGGATGTGGGGGTAGAGCTTCAAAAAGATGAAAATCAACATAAGAAGTAATACTGGTAAGTCATGGTTGATATTAATAATTTTCAACAAAAAAGATAATTTTCTCTAGAGAGTATACCTACCTGTGGGGAGGACAAATTTAATAAGGACACAGCAGAGAATTTAATTTTTAGGAGATTATTCTACATAGTTGAATATTTGCAACCCTGTGAATCCAAACTGGCTTAGGCAGAAAAAGAAATCTGTTGGCCTGAGTAATCGAATTGTCCAGGTCAAATGATATGACCAGCCAGGACCAAAGGAAAAAGTAAAACTGTATGAAATATCAAAATACTGTAAATACTTATATCAATTGGAAAAAAAAGACTGGAAGATCCGTAAAATATCAAATCATTACTTCTGAGTAAGGGAACTTTTTATTTTAATCCAATTTGGGCTGTTCTGTATTTTCTAAATTTTCTACGTCTGTGTAGGCCTTTTTCAGAATTGTTACTAAAAATGTTTCTAATAGCATTTTTTAAAGAATTATTTTATTTACATTTATTTATTTATTTATTTAAATTTGACCAGAGAGGGACAGAGTGAGAAAGAGAAGTGGGGCGGGGGCATTGGAATGAGAAAGCAAGCTGGAGGGTCTGGGACTCGAACTGCAGTTGGCCATCTGGGAGTTCAGTGCCATTAACCACCACACCATGTGCCAGCTCCTCTAAGAGCATTTTTTAAAATGTTTCGTCACTGGGGCCAGCCAGTGGTTAAGGTGTCCCATATGGGCAACAACTCTTCAAGTCCCAGATCCAGCAGCTTGAAAATCATGCCCAGAGTGTGTGTGTGCATCTATGCCTAGAATCCAGAGAGAGTGAAGAAGGGATTGAGCATGGCCTTATGCCCTGGGGGGTGATTTCTCTGGCAAGCAAAGGGCATGTGCCCTATGGGGGGAAAAAAAAATTGTGTGTGTATATATATATATAAAATAGACCGGAAATAATACTTTTACATTTTAACTACTGTGGAAACAACAGAGGAATGACTACATTAAAGGAATACTATCTAGATGCTTCGTGAAGGTCTCACTACATGGAGGGTGCCCCAACAGCCTTGTTAAAATAGGTGACTCACCCTCCATTCCTTGCATGGTCTATCCCATCCTGCTGTGTTCTTTCATAGAATTTTAATTTTTTTTTTTTTTGAGAGGTTTTTGCTATAGGGCGCGTGCGCTCGCCAGACAGACAGAGACAGAGAGACAGAAAATGATAAATCACTCCCCGGGGGGATGGCCACGCCGCAGTCCCTTCTCCTCTCGGGATCTTGGGCACCACGCACATGCACCTGGCATGAGTTTTAAGCCACCTGGTCTGGGACGCGAACCACGGTTGACTACATGGGAGTCCAGCGACATAGCCATTATGCTAACTGCTGGTCCCAATTTTTTGAAATTGCTTTTTCTTCCCCTCCAAAATGTAAGCTATCAGAATAAGGACCTAGCTTATTTCTTTTTTTACCCTAACACCTTAAACAATGCCTAAAATTTAGCAGGTATTCATAAGTATTTGATGGATTAAATGGGAAGAAGCAGGTATTGGCAAAGAGGCTTCTCATGAATTTATGTCAATGTATGGTCTCTAAATCATGTGTGAGGGTATCCTTTTCACTGTACCCCCCTGTAAGCACTGTTTTTGAACATATTTTGAATACTTCCCAGACCCCAGGGACAAGAGGTAAGGGTGGGTTCGAATTGTTAAGTCCCTTAGAGGAGGCTCTGTGGTCACTGAAACACTCCGTATGCTATTTCTGTAAGCAGAGGCAGCCTAGGTATGCGGATGGAACAAGGCAGGCAGATCACACACCCCCAATTAAAAACATTTCTGAGTGATGCCCTGCTATGGCCTTTTGCCAGACGTTGCATGCCTAAAGAAATTTTCACCAAAAAAAGCTCTTGTTAGTCTCCAAGAAGTCACTTTTAATTTGAATGAGGCTCTTTCACAGAGCAGTTCATTTGTGATTCATTTGTTCATTCTAACAAGTATTTATGGAGGGTAGTCTCTATACTTAGCCAACTGCTGGTAATGGGAAACAAAAGAAGCAGTTTCCTCCCGCCAGGACTTTATAATCTAGTTGTGAGGAATAAGAAATACATACATGAAAAATACAACCGCGAATGCAGAGTAGTCCGCAGTTAAGCGCCCTGATGAAGGCTAATCAGGTTGATTAGTAGTTTGGAGTAATGAAGATATTCTCATAAAAATGGGTGAAGACTAAGATGACTTGAAATGAGAGATTTGCTTTAGATAGCGTTTGCTTTGAAAAACTCCACCGGGGGGTAGTTGAGCAGCTTTTACTGGCTCCCACAAACTTTTTTAGCATGGCGCGGCTCCAGGTTTCTGCTGGCCTGTTTCGCTGATGCATATCTGAGTGCTGTACTAGGGCTTTTCTTCTGTGATGCTGAGTAGTTTAATTACTCCTGCTTTAGTGAGTTGAAGAAAAGGAGCTCTGAGGTTATTAACTCTTCACTAGTATTTTTACACACACATTTGCATTTAAAACAAGAAGGGACTAAGTAGTATACTTTGAGATTCTTAATGCTATACGATTAACTGTACTATTTCTGTATTCATCTTTAAAAATATTTTTCTGTAATGGTATTTTTCAGATTCATGGAAACAACTACTCTCATAAAGTGGACATCTTTTCTTTAGGCCTGATTCTATTTGAATTGCTCTACCCATTCAGCACTCAGATGGAGAGAGTCAGGGTAAGTACTCCCTCCAAAAAAATTTTTAAAAATATTGAAAGCAAAAAAATCTAAAATTTACAAAAGAAAGAATTTTAAAAGAATCCAAATTCTTTTAAGTTACCAGCAAACTAATTAATTGGAATTGGAAGGTCATGTGAGTAACACATGGAGGACTTACAGATGCTTGCTTCCACATACAGCATAGTCTTAAAAAAACTTTGTTCCATTGGATTGTTTGTCCCTGTTTTTTTGCTTAAATTCATCATAATTTAGCAATATCTTACACCCGGTAAATGTGTAACAAGTGCCAAACTAAAGGAACTACAATATATAATAGGGAGGGCAAAGGGAGGGAGTGGTGGTGGTAGAATAGATTTTTTCCAGAGAACACGTGGCCACACACCCTTATCCTGACATAATGCAATTTGTTTTTTTCTCTGAAAAGTTTAAAAGATCTTTTCAAGCAGATGGTACTAAAAGTCTTCTTTTAAAAAAAAAGAAAAAGAAAAACCCAGGGTGAATGTGCATGCTGGAAAGAGACAGAGAGAGGGGAAAGTGAGAAATCATCCCATAGGCAGGATGGCCACATTGCAATCTCTTCTCCTCCATTCTTCTTTTGGTATTTTGGGCATGCACACACACGTGCTCAATGTGATTTTCAAGCTGCTGGGCCTGGGGCTCTAACCATGGTCAGCACCTTAACCATCACACCACCTGTTGCCCCCCTAAAAGTCTTTTAAAAAATAGGCCTGTGTTGGGACCAGCAGGTGGCGTGGTGGTTAAGGTGCTGGACACACCCACATGGCCAACCACGGTTCGAGTCCCGGACCTGGTGGCTTCCTTTGTCCCTTTCTCTCTCTCTCTCTCTCTCTCTCTCTGTGTGTCTCTCTCTGGTCAAATTAAAATAAATGAATGAATAAATAAAATTAAATAAATAATAATTTTAAAAAAGGCCTGTGTCACATTTCTCCCATCCTTTGTAAGTGATTACCTTCAACTCTTCTATTTGCCCCAGCACTGAAACTCCATATTTCCAAAGCTTGTGCTTTCATCGCCTTTTTTTTAAACAGTTGATAATTTTTTTGAATTATTTTTGTTATTTTAACTTTATTTATCTATTTATTTAAATTTGATCAGAGAGGGATAGAATGAGAAAGAGAAAGTGAGAAAGCAAGCTGCTAGGTCCAGGACTTGAACACAATTGGCAATGCATCCTTTTAACTTATGTGTTTTAGGTTCTATTTGTTGACTACTGGTGTTAATAAGAGAGGATGTAGAGCTCACATAGAACCAAAGGAATTATATCTTCTAAAGGCTACCAAGAATTCTAGACAATAAATGGGAAAATAAAAAATTTAGACCAGAAATATAGACTCTAGAAGCTTCCAGACAGGTCCAGCCAAAGCAAAGGATAAGTAATCAGCATCAAAATGTACGTATTGGATTGTTGCAAAAGTTATGATGTATTTTTCTGTATTTCTATGCAAAACTGCACATGACTTTTCCAACAACCCAATAGTTATGAAAGTTATCAAAGAACACTGTCAAATAAAGTGAAAAGATCACAGAATAGGAGAAAATATTAGGTTGTCAGGAAAGTTGTGATGCATTTTTTCTGTTTTTCTATGCAAAAATGCATCATGATTTTCCCAGCAGCCCAATACTTGTAAATTCTATTACATATCCAGTATCCAAAATATATGAACTATTACAACTCAGCAATAAAAACAGCTCAAAATATGGGCAAATCAAGGCATGTCTCCAAGTACGCAAATGGCCAGTGTGCACATGAAAAAATGCTCAGCTTTGTTAGTTATTGGGGAAGTGCAAATCAGATGCACAAGGAGCTCTCACTTCACCCCATCCAGGGTGTCTATAATCTCAGAAGGGGAGAATAGCAAGTGTTGGTTCAGATGTAGAAATTGGTACATTGCTGCTGGGCATGGAGAATGGCACAGCCATCGTGGAAGAGTTTGGCAGTTCCTCAAAACGTTCAGCAGACAATTTCCACATGACCCAGTAATTCCGCCTCTAGATAGATACTCAAAGGTCAGGAAAACAAATATCTACGTAAAACCTTTTTTACGACCCACCTTTCTATAATTGCCTTTATCAATTGCTTAATTTCTCTGAACCCTTATTATATATAAATTAATATACTCAGAATCTCTGCTTCAGTATAGCTGTTCTCCTGTATATATCCACACATTATGTGTATATGTAAATGCGTATATATACTGATTTTATGACTTGGAGTATGCATCTGTTCAAGAAGCACTTATATATAAATTATCTAGTCAGGAAAACCTGTTGATAAATTTTCCATCTGTTTCATGTCCAACCTTATTTAGCCAATCTGTTAGAATATCAAAAGACTTCAACGTTTAAATAGAGCCATATGTCAAAGTAAATTTATAGATAACACTTTTTTTTTTTTTAGACATTAACTGATGTAAGAAATCTTAAGTTTCCACCACTGTTTTCTCAGAAATATCCTCGTGAGGTATGTATAATTCATATATTTTCTTTCGAATCATATTTGGAACTTAAAGGGTCCTTAGTAGCCAACTCATCTGTTTCTCAATTTTACAGGGAGGAAGTAAAAGGTCTAGAGAGAAAAGGGCCTGCTCCTGAGAGCACAAAATTTGTTAAAACCAAAGACTAGTAGGGACCAGCAGGTGGCTTGGTGGTTAAGGCGCTGGACATTCCCACATGGCCGACCATGGTTCAAGTCCTGGATCTGGTGGCTTGCTTTCTCACTTTCTCTCTTTCTCTGTGTCTCTCTCTGGTTAAAATAAAATAAGTAAATGAATAAATAAAATTAAAAATAATTAAAAAATAAAATAAAACAAAGACTGGTGTTCTGGCCTGGCTTCCTTAGCCAGCGTCCTCCGCTCTCTGCTGAACTACCTCCTGTACGTCAGTTGTCATAAGCTTTTGCTTAAACACACTGAATGTCTAGCGTACCCTCAGAGGAAGAGAGTTACTGTTCACTGATTCCCATTGATTACGTGTCTTGGAGTTATAACACATATAGAAAATGGTTAAGCATGGGAAAGGAAAATTAAGCTGGTCTGGTCAGTGAAAATTGTGTGTAATTCATCCTTGAAGTTTTGTTTTTGTCACTTTTATTTCAAAATACGTTTGGTCCACTAGTGTTTTTTTTTGTTTTGTTTTCTTTGTTTTTTAATTATAGGACTTGTGCATTCACCAGAGAAAGAGAAAGTGAGAAATCACACCCAGAGGGGATGGCCATGCTGCCATCCCTCCTCCATTCTCCTCTTGGGATTTTGGGCATGCACACACAAAAACATAAGAGCCACATATTTTTCAAGCCATTGGGTCCAACACTTGAACTATGCAGTCAGTTAGGTGGGATCCATTACCTTAACCACAATGTCACCTGCTGGTTGCCTAGTATATCATTTTTTAATTTACACAATACATGTGTAAAGAACTTATAAGTTGGAAGTAAATTAGACAGTGTGGGTTATCAAATTAGAGTCAAAATTTAGTTTTTATTAGCATATATTTAACGAAGGATTGCATTAAAAATGAACGTTGTGGAGCTGGACAGTGGCACAGCAGTAAAACATGGTACCACAAGACTCTGACCCACATGGGAAGGTTCTGAGTTCGCTTACAGAGATATGCTGGGCAAGTATATGCTCATAATCCAGGGTTGGCTGAAGCGCCATGTGGGAGTGTGGTCTCCCTGTCTGTCTCACTCCTAGAAGAAACAGACTTTAAAAAAATAATAAAAAAGGAACTTTATAATACAGTAAGATACACTAACCTGAAATGAAATACGTTTTATTAAAAATTGTTACATACATTTTGCAAAATTGATTAACCTATTCCCAGAGTGGCTCATAAGAGTATATGTTACGGGGCCAGCAGGTGATATGGTGGTTAAGGTGCTGGACTTCCACATGGCCAACTGTGGTTCAAGTCTCAGACCTGGTGGCTTGCTTTCTCATTTTCTCTCTCTCATGATCACACATGCTCTATAGCAAACTGAAAAATAATAATAAATAGGGGCTGGCAGTTGGCATGGTGGTTTAAGGGTGCTGGACTTCCACATGGCTGACCGCAATTTGAGTCCCAGACCTGGTGGCTTTCTTTCTCACTTTCTCTCTCTTTGCCCTTCTCTGGTGAAATTAAAATAAAGTTAAATAATTCTTAAAAAATAATAATAAATAAAATTAAATAAATAATTCTTTTTTTAAAAGGGTATATGTTTTATTAAAAGGGATTTTTAAAAGTGTGCACACCTCTGGTATGATTTTTTTAAATTGAAACTTCTATTGAGATAATATGTTAGAAAACCACCAATTACCCAAAATCAGTTCATATATATTTGGACCAGAAGTTGTAAAACTAAGGCCCACAGGTCAAATCCAGCCTACTATTTTTATAATAAAAGTTTTGTTGAAATACAGCCACACTCTGCAGTTTTTCTGTTTGTTTAATTTGCCAGGGTGGGGCGTGCACTTACTGGAGCTAGATTGAGAAAAATGGAGGAAGTACCCTCCCATGGGGTATTATCATGCCACAACCCCATCTCCTCCATTTCTCCCTCCTTTCAGGATTTTGGGCATGAACATGTACCCAGCATGTTTTTCAAGTTGCTGGGTTCAGGACTTGACCCACATAGTCAGCTATGAGGGATCCAGCCACTTTAACCGCTAGACCACCTGCCCATTTATCTATTATCTGGGGCTGCTTTGGTGCATCGTGCAAAGTTGAGTAGTTGCATGAGAAACTCTATGGCTCGTGAACTTAAACTCTTTACAGAAAAATGTTGCTGACCCATATTTAAAGGACTGTTCAGGATCTAAACCTGGCCTTTTACTCACAGAACAATTTTTATATTTCAGTATGTGATGGTTCAAGACATGCTCTCTCCATCCCCCATGGAACGGCCTGAAGCTACAGACATCATTGACAATGCTGTGTTTGAGGAGTTGGAGTTTCCAGGGAAAACAGTGCTCCGACAGAGGTCCCGCTCGTTGAGTTCATCAGGAACCAAACCTTCCAGACAGTCCAGCAACACCCTCAGCCCTTTGCCAGGCAGTTAGCCTCCAGTTGTGCTGGCAGCCCTGGGAAGGGACACAGAACAGCCCACTGGCGGCTTAGGAATGTGGCTTTCCAGAATTGAGGACTGGAAAATGTCCTTTGCTCAATGACAGTTGGACTTCTTTTTCTAAGTCTGATTGAAACTGGATTTGGGATCATGACCAAATTTGAGCCAACTCTTGGTTTTTACTGTACTTGAGGAGAGTCCCCATTCATGGGGGTCCTTGTCTTTGTTGGTCCCTTGAAACTGGCTGGCCATGTTTAATACCCCTCACCTTTTGCCCAGAGAGGAAGACGTAGTCCCTAAAATATATAGAGAGAATTAAAATGGAAGTATTTTTATAGTATGTAGGAAGGAGCATCCTCCCACATGGTAACTAGATTGTTCTAGAAATATGCTTTCTAGAGATAATGACGACTTTGAAACTGATTTCCAAAAAAGCCGACTCCATCGTTGTCCCTGGTGGGTAAACTAGAAATCCGTGTTATTTTGGAGGACAAGTAGCACAAGTTATATGTCCATAGTTTTATAGTCATATTTGTAGCATTAAATAGCTTTATTCCTTAGATAGGTAGTTCTAGGGAGAATTTAAGAGCTTTTCATACTTTTACCTCCAAGAAAGGGAAAATGAAGCTTTTTATGTAAATTGGTAAAAAGTCCTGGTTTGGGGAGGAAACAAACCATATATTACAACTAACTTCTTCAATTATGGACTTTTAAACCTAATGAAATCTTCCATGTCTTATATGAAATCCTATAGATCGGTACTTCCCCCAAACTAATTATAGAGAAAGTTTAATCATCTAACTTGCTAACTTTTATTTTTCAGTGTAAATATGTTTATTTTTTATTTATAAAAATTCTGAAATCAATCCATTTGGGTTGGTGGTGTACAGAACGCACTTAAGTGTGTTAACTATTGTGACTTCTTTCAAGTCTAAATGATTTAATAAAACTTTTTTAAATTAATTATGGTTGGCTTTATTTGGGAGAATTAGTCCCAAAATGATAGATTTTCAGATTTATGAAATGGGACCCCTGGATCCAAGAAGGGTCATAACGCTACCCTCGAGAAAACTTAGGTGTCTATTCTGTTACTTCTCAAAGACTTGACAGAACCCTTTCAAAGTTCACAGGATTCATAATTGAGAGCGTTCAGAGCGTGCACTGTGCCAGGGGCTGGGGTTAGCAAGAGGATCGTGCCCTAAAGGGAAACCTCTCAGAAAAAAGGCTGCAACCGTGCAGGTTGTATCAGTATCCCTGTGCCCAACACAAGCCATGTGGAGACACGTGGCCTACCGGGCTCACTCGGCACACACCGGCTAGATGCCACCTGGGAGCGCCAAAATGCACAAGTGTTTCCACCTTATGAATGAATAATGTTTACTGCAAAGTTGTGAGCAATGATTTATAAGCTGGAGGAACACTTTCTATATATTTGTGGGCTATGAGAAGTCTTCAAAAAGTCCACCAAAAAAAAAAAATGTGTATTATAAAAAAAGTCATGATTTCAATTTTCTTTTTTTTTTGCAATGAAATAAACACATACTTTAATTCTATTTTTCTATCAAACTCACACAAACAGTATTGGTCACATGTCGTCTTCCTTCCTGGGGTTCTGCTTGGCTCCCAGGCAACCACCTGCCCCTCCCACTTGGTCACCTCCTTTGGTTGCTTTTCTCTTATTTCCCCTTCATCTGGCCAGGGTCCTGGTGATTTCTTCCCAGCCTGCCCTCTCAGTGCCCATGAAAGATCTTCTTCCTGCACCACAGCCCCGGAGGCAGCCATGGCAGGCACTCCTATTACCATTCAGCTTACAAGATTAGGACCAGGAAGGACTGATTTGCCCCAAGATACCAAGGTGAGACTGGAACCAGGTATTCCTAGTCAGTGTTTTATCTACTCCTTAAAACTAAGTTGTCTATGCATTTGAATTCTTATGTGATATAATTAGACTTTCATTTTTCTTAAAAGAATTATTTAATTGTATTCATTATTGTTATTTTTAAATTTGCTATAGGGTGCATGTACTCACCAGAGAGAGGGGAAGTGAGAAAACAAGCCACCAGGTCCAGGATTTGAACTGTAGTTGCCCACATGGGAGTCCAGCCCCTTAAGCACTATGCCACCTGCTGGCCCCTAGACTTTTCATTTTGATCCTGAACATGCCTTTGCTGGCTGCCAGCAGTAGTGTAAGCATGGGGTTGGGGTGGGCCTGGGCCAGCAAGTCTACGATAGTAGCCAGAAAGGAGTCCCCTCCGTTCTCACCCAGGGCCCTATCTCCCAACTGCAAGCCCTCCCTTTCCACTCAAGTGCCGTTGCCTTTGTGGCTCTGTTCTGAGCCCCATCTGCCACACCAGCCCCTGCTTTCAACAGGTTGTACCCTTGCCACCGTCAGGCTGCAGATGAACCAGTGACTCTGGTGTAGGTCAGCCTCCTTTGTTCATTTCTACCCAGAAGGTAGGGACAGACCTTCCTCTAACCCAGCAACATCTAACAGACACAGCCTGGTAGTTGGTTATGCATTTGCAGGACTGAATTTGACAAACATACAGGTAACCCTGAGAAGAAGCCGGGCCTTTCAGGAGCAGGTTCCACATGGCTCCAGTGAACTAGATTTTTAAGGGAATGAAGATTTTCTACTAATAATTCAGCCTCTAACAAACGAGCTAGCGGCAGA